CTTCTCCCATGGGGGGTTAGTTGACTTCATTCATCTAGTGAACTTTAGTCTCGTGATTGATTTGAAAATCAGACATAATTGTATTTATCTTGATTTCGCTATAATTACTTTATTTTATTTTATTTTTTGTGTATTTCTGCCCAGGTATACCACGCTTTGGTCGACTTCTCGGGGATATTTATGTCTGTAAGCATTCCATCATTGGTGATGCAATCCGTTCTATTGGTGGAATGGCTGTTGTCCTTGCTCTTGTAGAAGCTGCTGAAACGAGGGACATGCTTCACATGGCTTTGACACTGCTTGCAAGTGCCCTTCATCAGAATCCTCAGAATATACGAGACATGCAGAAATACAGAGGATACCACTTGCTTTCACTTTTTCTTCATCGCAAAATGTCATTGTTTGACATGCAGTCTCTTGATATCTTTTTTCAGATTGCTGCATGCAAGGCTTCTTTCTCTGAACCAAAGAAAACTCGAACCTCACAGAGCTCCCCGGCACCGGCTCCAACTATTAGTGAAGTAAGCTTTGAGGATCTTAATTTGGCCAAGTTCCATGATGAATTTTCATCAGTTGGGTCTCACGGAGATATGGATGATTTCTCTGCACAGAAAGATTCGTTCAGTCATGTATCGGAGTTGGACAATACCGATATGCCCACTGAAACATCTAATTGCATTGTTTTGTCAAATGCTGATATGGTTGAACACATCTTGTTGGACTGGACCCTCTGGGTGACTGCTCCAATTCCAATTCAGATTGCTTTACTGGGATTTCTAGAGAATCTAGTCTCCATGCATTGGTATAGGAATCATAACCTTACGATTCTTCGCAGAATTAACCTTGTTCAGCATTTACTTGTGACTCTACAGAGGGGTGATGTTGAAGTGCCTGTATTGGAGAAGCTTGTTGTGTTGTTGGGGGTCATCTTGGAGGATGGGTTCCTTCCTTCTGAATTGGAACTTGTTGTTCGGTATGTGATTATGACATTTGATCCACCTGAACTGACTTCCCACCATCAAATTGTGCGAGAATCAATGGGGAAGCATGTAATTGTAAGAAATATGTTACTTGAGATGCTAATTGATCTGCAGGTGACTATTCAATCTGAGGAGTTACTTGAGCAGTGGCATAAAATTGTGTCATCAAAACTAATTACTTATTTTCTTGACGAAGCTGTTCATCCTACCAGTATGAGATGGGTCATGACTCTTTTAGGTGTATGTCTTGCATCTTCTCCTACATTTGCACTTAAGTTTCGCTCCAGCGGAGGTTATCAAGGTTTGGCAAGGGTGCTTCCAAGTTTTTACGACTCCCCTGAAATATACTATATTTTGTTTTGTCTAATTTTTGGCAAGCCTGTATATCCAAGATTACCAGAAGTCCGTATGCTCGACTTTCATGCCCTTATGCCAAGTTATGGAAACTGTGGAGAGTTGAAATTTGTGGAACTGTTGGAATCTGTGATTGCAATGGCAAAATCAACATTTGACAGGTTATGCATGCAATCGATGCTTGCACATCAAACCGGCAATCTTTCTCAGGTTGGTGCTGGCCTTGTGGCAGAGCTTGTGGATGGAAATTTAGACATGGCTGGAGAGCTTCAAGGTGAAGCTCTGATGCACAAAACTTATGCTGCTCGCCTAATGGGCGGAGAGGCATCAGCACCTGCTGCTGCCACTTCGGTACTAAGATTTATGGTTGATCTAGCGAAAATGTGCCCCATCTTTTCAGCTGTCTGCAGACGGAATGAGTTTCTTGAAAGCTGTATTGACCTCTACTTTTCCTGTGTCAGGTGCACTCTTTATACCTGTTGACTATCATCCTTTGATTCTATTAGATTGGTTATCATATTTGATATATTATACATTTAAAATTTCAAAATGTCTGGCTGTGTTTAATTGATCTCTAGTTAACTGAATAGGTTATTCTCTGTTATTCAGGGCTGCCAAAGCTGTAACATTGGCAAGAGAACTCACCGTAAAAACGGAAGACAAGAATTCAAATGATGCTGATGATACTAGTAGTTCCCAGAATACATTTTCTAGCTTGCCTAATGAACAGGAACAGTCATTAAAGATCTCTATCAGTATAGATAACCTTCCTCAAGGGAAGGTTAGTGCTAGTTTGGAAGATATGCCCGTTTTCCCGAATAATATAGGTGGTGATAAATCGGAGATAAGTGTTGTCTCAACCCAGGACAGATTGGATAAGTCAGTAAAAGAAGATGTGCAAGCTGTGTTGAGTGTTGATGCTGAAGCAGTTGACCAGGTCTCCAGTGCCACCTCTAGCAGTAACGAATTTAATTACCGTGATGTGAAAAGCACACAAGATAACATCCACCCTGCTGATGCACAGAGTTCTGCTTCTTTCACCATGGTTGAATCTCCTATTTTATCTGAGAGATCTAACTTGAGAATTCCACTCACTCCCTCTTCGTCCCCAGTTTTAGCATTGACATCTTGGTTGGGAGGTGCCAGCCGAAATGAATCAAAAGGCCAGTCTGCATCCACTCCGTCTGTTGAGTCTTCTACATCTATGAATGAAATTGATTCCTCGTCAGACTTGTTAAAGTCCAGTTCTCAGGGACTTTATGCTTCAAACACACTCCTCACAATTAGTCCGACACTTCTTCTCCAAGTTGATGATTCTGGCTATGGAGGTGGCCCTTGTTCTGCTGGAGCTACTGCTCTTTTAGATTTCATGGCAGAAATTCTTTCTGACTTTGTGACTGAGCAAATGAAAGCTGCACCAATGGTGGAGACTATTTTGGAAAGTGCACCTCTTTATGTTGATGCTGAATCTGTTTTAGTTTTCCAGGGATTATGCCTTACTAGATTAATGAACTTCCTAGAAAGACGTCTCTTGCGGGATGATGAGGAAAATGAGAAAAAGCTTGATAAGAGCCGCTGGTCCTTGAACTTAGATGCACTGTGCTGGATGATAGTGGATCGCGTATACATGGGAGCTTTTCCTCAGCCAGCTGGTGTATTGAAGACTCTGGATTTCTTGTTATCTATGTTACAATTGGCAAACAAAGATGGTCGGATTGAAGATGCAGTTCCGAGCGGCAAAGGAATTCTTTCTATTGGAAGAGGAAGCAGGCAACTTGATGCCTATATACATGCACTTTTTAAAAATATGAACCGAATGATATTATTCTGTTTCCTGCCATCATTCTTAATCAGCATTGGGGAAGATGATCTTCTTTCACGCTTGGGTTTGAGGAATGAACAAAAGAAAAGATTGACTCCTAACTCATCATCAGAGGATGGAGGGGTTGATATCTTCACGATTCTACAGTTGCTGGTTGCCCACAGGCGACTTATATTTTGTCCTAGTAATCTTGACACTGATCTTAATTGCTGTCTCTGTATAAATTTGATCTCTCTTCTTAATGATCAGAGACAAAATGCACGGAATATGGCTGTTGATGTTCTCAAGTATCTTCTGGTACATCGTAGGGCTACACTTGAAGACTTGCTTGTCTCGAAACCAAATCAAGGGCCACCTTTGGATGTTCTACATGGTGGATTTGATAAGCTTTTGACTGGAGATATATGTGAATTTTTTGAGTGGCTTCATTGTTCTGAACAGGTTGTCAATAAAGTGTTGGAACAGTGTGCTGCCATAATGTGGGTACAGTTCATTACAGGTTCAACAAAGTTTCCTGGTGTGAGAATAAAAGGCATGGATAGTCGTCGTAAGAGAGAAATGGGGAGAAAATCCCGTGACACCTCAAAATTAGACCTAAGACATTGGGAACAGGTGAATGAACGGAGAATCGCACTTGAATTGGTTCGTGATGTGATGGCTACTGAACTAAGAGTCATTCGTCAGGATAAGTATGGATGGGTCCTTCATGCTGAAAGTGAATGGCAAACTCATCTTCAGCAACTTGTGCATGAGAGAGGAATATTTCCGATTGGTAAATCTTCCCTGAATGAAGAGCCTGAGTGGCAACTATGCCCCATCGAAGGTCCATACAGGATGCGCAAAAAGCTGGAGCGGTGCAAATTAAAGATCGATTCTATTGAAAATATTCTGAATGGACAATTTGAGTTAGGAGAAGGAGAACTTTTCAAGGAGAAAACTGAAAATGAACTCAATGCCTCTGATACTGACTTCGATCCTATTTTCAATCATCTAAATGATAAGACAAAAGAAGATTCTTTTAATGCTGTTCTGTATGATGAATCAATTTCCAAAGAATTTGATGATGCTCAAGATGTAGCTTTTAATGGTGTTGGATGGAATGATGATCGTGATAGTAGTATAAATGAAGCAAGTCTTCATTCAGCTGCTGAATTTGGTATCAAGTCCAGTGCTGCCTCTACTCAAAGAGCAGACAGTATGTATGGAAAGTCTGATCTAGGATCACCAAGGCAATCTTCTTCAATCAAAGTTGATGAAGTGAGAGTGGCAGAGGACAAATCAGACAAAGAACTAAACGACAATGGTGAATATTTGATTAGACCTTATCTTGAACCTCTTGAAAAAATCAAGTACAAGTATAACTGTGAAAGAGTGGTGGATCTGGATAAGCATGATGGTATTTTTCTGATTGGAGAACTATCACTATACGTCATTGAGAATTTTTACATTGATGATTCTGGATGTATATGTGAAAAAGAGAGTGAAGATGATCTCTCTGTCATCGATCAGGCCTTGGGTGTGAAAAAAGATTTCTCTATCGATTCCAATTCCAAGTCAACTTCATCCTGGGGTGCTACAGTGAAAGTATATGCTGGGGGTAGGGCATGGGCATATAATGGTGGTGCATGGGGAAAGGAAAAGGTGTGTACCAGTGGTAATGTGCCCCATCTTTGGCATATGTGGAAACTTGACAGTGTTCACGAGCTTCTGAAGCGTGACTATCAACTTCGTCCCGTTGCTATCGAGATTTTCAGCATGGATGGTTGCAATGACCTTCTGGTTTTCCACAAAAAGGAGAGAGAAGAAGTTTTCAAAAATTTGATGGCCATGAATCTGCCAAGAAACAGCATGTATGTTACTTTAATCCTCTTGCTTATAATCTTGTTCCTTGTGTTTGATTTTTCCATTGGTTCTGTACACCTTTTGCTGTTTTTTTGTGCATAGCTACTCAACAATAATGATATCTGTTTGATAGACTATAAGGTCAATTTATTTTAGGCGGTTACATAGCTGATGTTTATACGCCATAGTACTCTGTTAATCTGATACTTCGCTGTCAGTGTGATTATGATGTGCTGGTACCTGTCTGTTGCATTTGGTGGCTTTTGGCAAAACCACCTGTGTTGTTAAGATAAAAGAAGTTATTGTCCGGTTTTTATGTTAATAGTTTTTAAAAATATTTCTATAAAATTCTATTTTCCACAGATGTATGATTCTAAAGACTTATGTGTGTTCCTCCTTTGTTTCTGGTCTCTATCCCGATATGACATTTATATGTGCCAATGGTGAACCTCAATAGATGTTTATATCATTAAAAATATTATTTTACGCTGAATAGTGCGTAGTACTGAATTATAGGTGTGATGTCTGCATATGCTGCTCTTTGTTTATGTTTATTAGTTCTCTCCTTTTGCATGGAACACTAATATGACAGCATAGGTTATGATTGATTTTTCTGAATTTGTTGATCAATGTTAAACTGCCTCAGAGTTCATTGAGCGGAACATTGACCTATATTCTTTTCTTTTGCTTTTGATGCTCTACATGGTCACAAATTGCAAATTGTTCTATACATGCTTCCAGTTAACATTTTGTTCAGTTTCAATTTCATTTCTAGTAACACAATCATGAGAGTTTATGAGACTGGTCTATGTAATGTAACAGATAATTCAGACCCATTTATGTCCCCTGAAATCAAACACCGTGCAACAAGTCTTTGCACTTTCTTTCCTACTCTTGCTGGAACTGGGAGGATTGGGACAGTTATCACTTTTATCCTTGCTAGCGAAACTTCACAATCATAAATGAAAGCTAAGGAGCTTGAACTTGGGGATTAGACAAAACTTTAGTAGGCGACAACCAGGGGATTGAAGCTTATAGGAAACATTTGATATTTTAAAGTGAAGTTTTTGTGTCTGATGCTTGTCACAATAACATTGTAATTAATTTATGAAGGCACAAACTCTTCAAGGTTAATCTATGAGAATCATCCATAAAGATAATTCAGTTCGCCAAGTATGGATGGTTCAAATTAAGATTTGTTGACCTATGAGAATCATCCATAAAGATAATTCAGTTTGCCAAGTATGGATGGTTGAAATTAAGCTTTATTTGATAAAAGAAGAATAAGGAATGAACAAATCAAGGATGGTGCCATTCTGAACACAGCTGTCTATAAGGTATCTTAATTTTTCAAATGAAGATTTATTTTAAACAAGTATAAAGAATGAACAAATAAATGATAGTGCCTTTCTGAACACAGCTGGCTATACAGGAAGATTCCTTTCTTTCATCTCTTATTACTGAGCGTGAATACCGGTTTAGAGGAGCTGCCTTAGCTTTGTAGTTTGATAGCTATGTCCTTGGAGTTTATTTTAGACTTCCGTTTTTGATTCTTTTACTTGTATATTGAGAAAGAATATTAAAAATGGCTATTCAGGTTAGAAAATGTATTATGATGTTATAATAATCTCTCTTTGTTAAATTCTAAGCTTTCGAGATGTTTAAAAATTCATTTTTAATTCTTATAAGCTATAATTTTATAATTAGGATCATTATACCAACATACACTGAAACTTTTCTCGTTTTGGACATGTTCAGACTTTAGAACATGTTTGTTTTGCTTTTATATAGTTAATATCGCGTGTTTGACAAGATGAATGAGCGTTCTTATTAGATCAAGGTATATTGCAATGACAAGTTTGATTTCCTAGTCTTGGCATTCTATTAATTATAATTTCTTGATTTGCCTCTATTTCTGACTTAAAATATTTCTCTCGTCAATTGCTATGCTTCAGCACTTAATGTCTTGCCAATAATTTTAACTTGGAAGATTTTGAGCTTGACAGTACATTTATATTTGTGCAACAGATTAGACACAACAATATCGGGGTCAACAAAACAGGAAAGCAATGAGGGCAGCCGTCTTTTTAAGGTTATGGCCAAATCCTTTTCCAAGAGGTGGCAAAATGGAGAAATTAGCAATTTCCAGTACCTCATGCATCTTAACACGCTGGCAGGTCGTGGGTACAGTGATCTCACCCAGTATCCAGTGTTCCCCTGGGTTTTGGCAGATTATGAGAGTGAAAATCTGGACTTTTCTGACCCTAAAACATTCCGTAACCTTGGTAAACCAATGGGTTGTCAAACATCCGAAGGAGAAGAGGAGTTCAGAAAGAGGTTGGCACTTCTATCAACCTGTTTGCTACTAGTTTCTTTCCAGCTCTTTCTTTTATATTTTTTACTTCATGTTTCTTTCTTGGACATGAACCTCTTTTATTTGATTTGTTGTATTCTTGATCTGTTCTTGTTATTATCATTACCTCAGATATGAGAGCTGGGATGATCCAGAGGTTCCCAAATTTCATTATGGTTCTCATTATTCCAGTGCTGGAATTGTTCTTTTCTACCTTTTACGCCTGCCACCATTCAGTGTTGAAAATCAGAAGCTGCAGGGGGGACAATTTGACCATGCTGATCGTCTTTTTAACAGTGTACGAGATACTTGGTTGAGTGCTGCTGGGAAAGGCAATACATCGGATGTCAAGGAACTAGTTCCAGAATTCTTCTATTTGCCAGAATTCCTGGAAAACAGGTTCAATCTTGACTTGGGTGAGAAACAATCGGGAGAGAAGGTTTGTCTAGTTCTTTGAAATTTTAGAGCTCGAGTTGTTTTTGTCTCTGTTCAATTTTTTCCCCTTTTGCTGATCGTCTTTTTAACAGTGTACGAGATACTTGGTTGAGTGCTGCTGGGAAAGGCAATACATCGGATGTCAAGGAACTAGTTCCAGAATTCTTCTATTTGCCAGAATTCCTGGAAAACAGGTTCAATCTTGACTTGGGTGAGAAACAATCGGGAGAGAAGGTTTGTCTAGTTCTTTGAAATTTTAGAGCTCGAGTTGTTTTTGTCTCTGTTCAATTTTTTCCCCTTTTCTTTCATTTTGGTCTGTGGGGCTAGGCATCCTAATAGCTTATCGTTTTCTGCTAGGTTGGTGACGTGTTATTACCTCCATGGGCGATGGGCAGTGCTAGGGAATTCATCAGGAAGCACAGGGAAGCACTGGAGTCTGATTATGTTTCAGAGAATCTGCATCACTGGATAGACCTCATCTTTGGATATAAACAGAGAGGGAAGGTGAGTGCCCCATCTTTCTGCCTCCACAATTTGGTATCATAATCATCTAGACGTGGGTGGAGCATCAATTTACCAAAATTTGTTAACTGAATAATCCTTTTTTCTGTTCCTGAGTTCCAAAATTGTCTTAGTGACTATCTTGTTTCTATTTTATCAGTTCTCCCTCTTAATGGCAACAACTGTGTTTTTCCCATTGGAACTGCAATACAGATATAAGATGGAGTCCACCCAATTTTTATATATTTTCCCTTGATATAGCCACTTGGAAATTTTACCCTGTAATTACTGCCTTATATTTCACTGTCCACTGCATAAATATGTGAACCAGGATATTTTTTGATTCTGTGAACTTCTTGAGAGGCGTGTATGTATGAACTCTTTTGCTAAATCCAATGGCACCTTTATTTTATGCCGGGCTTATCTTGACCATTCTTGTGGTGTTATTAGGCAGCCGAAGAAGCTGTGAATGTCTTCTACCACTATACATATGAAGGCAGTGTTGATATAGACTCTGTTGCAGATCCTGCAATGAAAGCCTCTATTCTGGCACAAATAAATCACTTTGGACAAACGCCAAAACAATTGTTCTTGAAGCCCCACGTGAAAAGACGAACTGATAGAAAGCTTCCTCCTCATCCGCTCAAGCACTCTACATTTCTTGTGCCTCATGATATTCGTAAGAGCTCATCTTCTATTTCTCAAATTGTCACTGTCGCTGACAAGATTTTAGTGGCCGGTACAAATAACTTGCTGAAACCCAGAACTTATACCAAATATGTTGCATGGGGGTTTCCGGATCGTAGCTTGAGATTTGTGAGCTATGATCAAGATAGGCTTCTTTCTACTCATGAGAATCTTCATGGAGGCAACCAAATCCAGTGTGCCAGTGCAAGCCATGATGGTCAGGTTTTAGTTACAGGGGCAGATGATGGTTTGGTATGTGTTTGGAGAATTGGCAAAGACGGACCACGTGTTCTTCGGCACCTGCAGTTGGAGAAGGCTCTTTGTGCCCATTCGGGTAAAATCACGTGCCTTCATGTTAGCCAGCCTTACATGATGATTGTGAGCGGATCAGATGATTGTACTGTCATCATATGGGATCTTAGCTCTTTGGCTTTCATTAGGCAACTTCCCGAGTTCCCTTCACCTGTTTCTGCTATATATGTGAATGACTTGACGGGAGAAATAGTGACTGCAGCTGGTGTGATGCTTGCAGTTTGGAGCATTAACGGGGACTGCCTTGCAATTGTCAACACATCACAACTTCCATCCGACTTCATTCTCTCACTTACAGCTTCTACCTTCTCTGATTGGTTGGAAACTAACTGGTATGTCTCGGGTCACCAAAGTGGAGCCGTTAAGGTCTGGAAAATGGTTCATTGTTCAAGCGAGGAGTCTGCCCAAATCAAACAGACTGGAAATTTGACAGGAGGGCTAGCTCTTGGAGGTAAAGTTCCCGAGTACAGGTTGGTCCTACATAAGGTTTTAAAATTTCATAAGTTTCCTGTTACTGCCCTCCACCTTTCTGGTGACCTCAAACAGTTATTGAGCGGGGATACCGGTGGCCATTTGATTTCATGGACATTACCAGATGAAAGCTTGAGATCTTCAATTAATCAGGGATGATCGAAGGATAGAAGGTATTTATTTTTTTGGGAGGTCTCTTGGATTGAGCTCTCGCATTCATGGAAGAAGTGACCGGGTCTACACTATAAACACATGAAGCAAGAGACTCCCCCTTGTCGCAGGTGTGCCTCACAGCTTCGAGAGTAGGACGTGGAATATTTGATGGCTGCAAATTGTTGTGGTTTTTCGTGATTGCCAGAGGGAGACGACTTGTATATAGTGAAAGGTATGTGACAGTGTATAATGAGGTTGTATAGAAGTGTTGGCAGAAATGGAAGCTTGGCTCGAAAATTATCCAAACTGACTTTAACACTGGATAAGACCTATTGAATGGGCCTTTTTGGTTTGGCTTCGTTCCAGCGATGGGCATTTTGTTATGATTTGTATAATTCTTTTAGATTATTAGTATATATACCAAGATTAAAGGGGGGCTCTAATTTCTCCATCTTTCCTTCTTTCCTACCCTGGCAAAGTTTAGATTTTACTTCTTTTACGTGTGGATTAGTTCATGTGGTAATCAACAAGATTTTAGTATTTTTTTCCCCCTCTAAACCTAACAGTCGATGTTTTTCATCCATTAACTATCTGCAGTTATTTATTGGGGCGCACGATTATATCTTCAACAAGGCGAAAATTCTCCTGTTCTGTATGTGTGTATTCTTGCAGCTTGGAATGATATACTTATTTTTAGTCTCTGAAAAAATGATTGCACGGTTAGGAAGATCAAAATCCATAATGGATTAGTAATGGAAGTTCTGTATGTTATCCAATACGATATTTTTGTACCTAAAAGTATTTCAAATCAGGCTTTAAGTTGATTTAGTGAAAAACAATCAAGAACAAGATAATCATTGGTTCTGAGTAGTAGCTGAAATGTGGACCGAAATAACTTGAGTGTATTTTTAAAATTAAAGTTCCAAGAACAACACTTTTTGTCCTCTCTATAAAATTTAAATCAGCAAAATATAATTTCTTGTCTAGCTCATAACAAGGTAGGTGTACAGATAAAATTCTTAGCTCAAAAAAAAAAAAAAAAAAAAAAAAAAAAAAACCTGAAGTTGAAAATATAAGAAAGATAAAAAGGGTCTCCTTCATTTCAAGGGGAAAGAAAAACACTTATCAGAAATTCCCTCACCATGGCACTGGCTTTGTACTGAACTCCGAAGATCTTTGCGATTTGAAAAGTCTGTGTTATGGGAAAGGTGCATTCTTTATATCTACCACCTCTTAAAAAGAGGGTTTAATATTACTATTCATTTATGTCACATTACTTTTCACATTACATTTAACTTATCCAATTTTGCTACAGTTATTTATTCATGTAAGAAAATAGGACACGCTTTCTTCTCTGGACCACATAGTCTACTTCTACTGCTTTTCTACTGTTTTCACATCCGTCCTTGTACAATTGTTATGGGCTCGCATTCATTTCTCAATGTCAGTGAGTAGGAAAATTATTTATTACAAATTTGACTTTTATGGCATGGTGCTAGTAAATGTTATGAATTCCCACTTTATCCTCAATATCAAAATTGATTGAAAATAATGTGAAGCATTAAGTTAAGGTATTTTTGACAAAATGATTATTACAGTTAGAGTCACATGGTCTTTTCAATTTTCATATAATAAATGCAGTTTGTCATTGTCTGTAAAATGTATAATGTGAATTTTGATTCCAATCTGCTTTATCTAAATCATTTCTCACGAAAATTGTTTTCGTTTGCCGTGTTTCTTCTTCATTATTTACCTTCATTCTTTACCTCTGCTTCTCTGTGAAACGAGAAAACATCTTTGAAATAGTATAGAAATTAGACACTGGTATATTTCATGTTTACTTTCACGTACAGTAATATTTTTTTACAAAGAAACTTTTCTATTTGTATTGTAGATTATGGACGATTTTAGCTTCCAATTTTTTTTTGTAGATTTGAACTAAAATTTGTTGCTATTTATGTGTATAGGTTAGATTACATTAGTTATCTCGTGGAATCGAAGGCTGTAGTGGAGAGATCTGTCAGGTAAGGGTTTTGAATTTATTTATTTATTTTGGTCCAGTTGATGTTTTGTGCTTCTATGTATAAAATTTTCGAATATGTATGTACTATGTGATTTCATAACTTCCTATGCAAGAATCTCAAATTTGAGCCTCGTGCTTTTAAAGTTGAGATGATTTTAAATTTTTTACCCATACCTTATAAACCTAATTCAATCATTTGCCTACTTTACTAATTCTAGAGGGAGAAGAAAGAACTCATCGTGATTTGAGAACAAAAGAAAAAGGAAAACATGAAGTATTTGACCATCTTGATATTTGGATACTACTTCAAACAGTAAAAATTATAAAAACGGAGAAGTGGAAAAAGGCAACAAGAAACTAAAGCCGGGGGAAATTGGTTTTTTGTAATATACGGTGAGACATGAAATCTTTATTTGAAGAATGACTCTAGTTATATACTTTTTCATTAAAAAAGATACTTGGTTAGAGCTCTTTGAGGCATAAATTCATCGATGGAAATCTTTTATTACCTTCAATAGAATATCGAAAGGTGGATACTAAATACTAATGATGAATTTTAGGAAGAACTTGAATTGATACAATCAAATCTTCAAACTTAATAATATGGAATACTATGTGCCATCATTTTTTGTTTTTATTTTTTATTAGTTAATTTACTTTATGTTCAAACAAGTTTGTGGTTATGTTTGTTGTCCTCTTTTAACGTCTAAAAGAACTATTTGATTTCAAGAAACGAACAATATATTTGTTAGCATGCCATGGTATTGACATTTTCTTTTTGTTAATAGTCTTTTGTATGAAGTGCTAGAGGACAATAGGTGGCCTATTTTTTGTATCCTTTGTGGATCTTAACTAGCATTTATCTTTCAATAAAAACATAAGATAAACGGGACAATATTTCAGATGTGCTTGACACTATTTTCTATGTTCTGATGATGTAGGACAACTGTGTAATCTTTTGTTAACGGCAATTTCTACGTAATTCAGGTATAGTTTCTTTAAACAATATCCATTTTACACTAATTTTTTCAATTTTTCTTAGTGATATGTGAAATATCTTTAAATATTTTTTTATATAAAACTTCAAGTTCTTTTCTTGACTATTTTGTGTGTTTCCATTTACAACTTGTATATTTTTGCTTTATTACTTTCAATTGCTATCCTTATTCTTTTGTGCACTTCCAGTAGTCAACTTATGAATTTATTAAGTTCATGATTTTTTATGGATTACTTACATTATAGAATTAGAAAAATAATGGATGTGTAGGTTGATTGGATGGGAGCAAAATCATTAAAATTAGAGATGAAAACCTCGTTCCTTTTTTGAAGTCTTTCTCTTCTTCATCTTCAATAGTAGTATAGCAAAAACATTTACAAAATAATAATAGTATTTATATTTAAAAAAAAAACTCTTCATTTTACAAAAATCATATAAAAATGGTAATGTTTTTTCTCCTGCATTTAAATCCTACAAGTCTTATTAAAATTTTATTTAATCAATATTTGAGGCAACAATGTTTATGTTTAATACTATTGCATTCAAGTAAACGATTTTTATTATTAAACTTTAGCTTTATGCAAGTTTTTAATATTGTGAAAGTCTGATTAATTTGTGTTTGTCAAGTTTTTTTCCTATTGTGAAAATTGAGTAGTATTAATAATTTTTTTTTGTTCTTTCATTTACTAAAATGAATTTTTTTTTCATTAAATTAGAGGTGAAGTTTTGTTCTCCATGAATTCTTCAAAAACATCTGCTGATCAAGAATCTAGATTTTGTAACATTGATGGTACTTCTCAAAACACAAGTAAATCATATACTGCCTTTATTCGCCAACAACAAAATCAAAGACAGACGGATAGGAGGAATCGAATTCAAACTCCACGCATTGATTATCATAAAAGGATAAATGATTCTACATTATCTGGAAAAAATAATTTAGGTGCTTCCCATGCTCAGAAGTTTACTGTTCCTCCTATTTTCCAAGCTTCCACTTCAAATCAAGAATCGACTAATATTGTTCATTCTAAAGTACGAGGATTTTCTAACCTATTGAACATACCAATTAATGCATATGCATTACCGACATAGAACTACTATGAACATTGTGGTGCACGAAAATTTTATAGAGAAACTAAAGAGTTTTGTTGTTCTGATGGAAAAGTTAAACTTTATATGCCTGATTCACCGACTGAATTGTATGATTTATTTACTTCTAAAGAACCTGAATGCATGGAATTTAAGAAAATTGCACGTGGATATAATAACCATTTTGCTTTCACTTCGTTTGGTGTAAAATATGATAAAGAACTTTTTAGAACATATAAAGATATTTACACTTTCAGAGTTCAGGGATAAGTATATCATTATGTGAATCAACTTATGCCAGAAAATAATGAACCTTCTTATATGCAGTTATATGTTTATGATGCAGATAACGAAATTGAAAATCGTATGAAAATTTCAGAAAATTTTGTTAAATCTACTTTGATCATTTTGATTGAAATCTTGAAAGTAAATCCATATAGTAGATTCTTTAGGTCTTTAAGTAATATGACTAATTTGCATGACCATCGAATACAAATAAGATGCGATCCTGGACTTGATCAAAGAGTCTTCAATACTCCTTCGATATCTCAAGTAGCTGCTGTATGGGTTGATGATGATGACAATGCAAATATCCGTGCTCGTGATATTACTATATATGGTCATTCTGGTGATTCACATAGGGTTCATTATTATTATGGTTGTTATCAAAGATACTAAAAGACAGATTTTGAAACTCAAAATTTAGTTGACTGCGTAGCTTTTCCTAGCGCAGTAAATTTTGCAACCGAAATCAATGAAAAAGAGACCGGAGGTTTGGTAATACACTTTTTTGTATGTTTTCTAACTTATATAAAGTAAGTGTTCTAGATGGACGTAAGATGCATTTTCTTTATCCTCATGCAGTGCTCAATGGAATGAAGAAACGATCTCAGGTTTCTTGTCGGGAGTACTATTCTTACAAGTTACAAATTAGACCTTCTGGTAAGTCTGTGTTACTTCACACTGGTAGACTTTTCAACAATATGTTGTAGATATGTACGTTAAGATTGATACTACCAGATTAGACTATTTTCATAGCAATCAAAAGCAAATTCGTGCTGAACTTTATCAAGGTATTGTAGATAGTATTCAAAATGGGGAAACAAGAGGGTCAAAAATTGGTAAGAAGATTTTTCTACTACAGACTTTCACATGTGGGCCTAGAGATATGATCAAAGGATATTTAGATGCAATGGCTATCGTTCAACGCTATGGAAAACCAAATATATTTCTAACTATAATTTGTAATCAAAATTGGCCTGAAATTACGGAAGAATTGAAATACAATGACGAAGTTCAAAATCGACCAGATTTAATTACACGTATATTTAGAGCAAAGTTAGAAAAATTAAAAAAGGATTTGTACAAAGATAATATTTTTGGCCCAATTATTGCTCATATATATACATGATTGAATTTCAAAAAAGAGGGTTTCCTCATGCACATTTATTGTTGATTTTCAATTCTGCCCATAAAATTTGCTGCACTGAACAAGTTGATATGATAGTGTCATGTGAAATTCCTGATAAAAATAAATACTTGCATCTTCATTCTGTAATTGCAAAACACAATATGCACGGTCCCTGTGGAAATTTTAATCCAAGAAATGTGTGTATGTTGGCAAGCAGTGGTTGTAAAAATAAATATCCTAAGGATTATTGTAACAGTACTACATTTGGTGATAAATCATATCCATTGTATAGACGTCATAATAATTGTATTTCTATTAAAGTGAGAGGTCAAATATTAGATAATTGATGGGTTGTACCATATAATCCTTATCTAAGTGCAAAATTTGACTGTTATATTAACGTTGAAGTATGTTCTTCTATTAAAACAGTGAAGTATTTGTACAAATATGTGTATAAAGGATATGATCGTATTAATTGTTTCATAGGTAGAAATGAAACGGACAAAGAAATTGATGAAATTTCTGCTTATCAATCAGCTAGATGGATATCTCCACCTGAAGATATGTGGATAATTTTTTTCTTTCAATTTTTTAGAAATTTATCCTACTGTTTATACTTTACAATTTCATATTAAAGATCATCAGCACGTAACTTACAATAATAAAGATGATTTATCTATTATTATTGGGAATGAGTATACGAGAAGAACAATGTTAACAGAATTTTTTCGGATGAATGAAACAAATGAATTTGCTCGAACATTGTTGTATCGAGATTTCCCAACACACTTTGTGTGGAATGCAAATGGGAAAGTTTGGACTCCTAGAAAATAACACATTGTTATAGGACGAATTGTGACAGTCAATCCATCTGAAGGAGAACGATATTTCCTTCATGTTCTTCTGAATCATATTAGAGGTCCCCAACATCATTTGACAGTTTTAAAACTTTAAATGGAGTAACTGTTAATACATATCGAGAAATAGCATTTTTACATGGTTTGTTAAAAGCGGATAATCATTGTGAAGAATGTCTATCTGAAGCTATTATTTACAAAATGCCTAATTCTTTAAGACGCCTTTTTGCAACACTTCTTACACTTTGCATCCCTAATCATCCAAAGCTATTGTGGGATAAATATAAAGCCTATATGATTGATGATTATATACATCGAAACATATCTGTTGAAGATGCTGGAGTACAAGCTTTGGAAGACATCAATTCTGTATTAGAATCATTAGGTAAAAACATAAATGATTACGGAATAGTTTCATTCTTCGTAAATATAGATGAGACTCAAAGATTGACAAGACTGGTTGTAGAGGAAATAATCAATTTCAATATTGAACGAGGCTTCAATTATGTAGAGCAATTAAATAAAGAACAACGATTTGCATATGATACAGTTATGGAAAAAATAAAAAATGAATCAAGTGGTACTTTCTTTATTAATAGTCCAGGGGGAACAGGGAAGACTTTTTTTTATACAAAGCTCTTCTAATTAGTGTAAGAAGTCAAAATTTCATTGCTTTGGCAACATCGTCCTCCAGAGTTGCTGCATCTTTGTTGCCTGGAGGTCGCACAGCTCATTCGAGATTTAAAATTTTTTTGGAAACAGTTGATGAAGTGAACTGCTCCGTTAGCAAGCAATTAGCTTTAGGAATGTTGTTGAAAATGTCTAGGTTAATAATTTGGGATGAAGCACCTATGGTAAATCATTGTGCTATTGAAGCTATAGACAGAATACTTAAAGATATTACTGATTGTAACTTGCCTTTCGGTGGGAAAGTGATAATTTTTGGAGGAGATTTTTGACAAGTTCTACTAGTGGTGTCGAGAGAGAAAAAAGAAGATGTAATGAAAGCTAGCTTGGTTTTTTCAGACCTATGGCCTTCCTATTTACATTTACCATTGATTGAGAATATGAGAGCAAAGTTAGATCCTATGTTCTATACTTACTTAATTAGAATTGGAAATGGAACAGAAGAAGAACATACTTGTAAGTGCGTTATGCTTCCGAATAGTATAATTCTACCATTTGAAGATGAAATCACATCTTTAAAAATTTTGATACATCATGTTTTTTCAAATATACAAACATATGCTGACAATCTACATGATATGGTAAATAGAGTTATTTTGACACCTACGAATGAATGTGTTGATTATATTAACAGGATTTTACTTGAACAAATTCCCGGTGAAATTTTAACATACTACAGTTTTGATGAAGCAATCGATAAATCAGAACAAAGCTTGCAAGAAGATTTCTTGAATACTTTAACACCAAATGGTATTCCACTGAATGAATTGAAACTTAAGATAAACTATCCTGTAATGTTACTGCGAAATATCAATCCTTCTGAAGGGTTATGCAATGGAACACGCCTTACTTGTCGAAAATTTGAGAAAAATGTTATTTTAGCTGAAATTACAACTGGTGAATATTGTGGAAAATATGTTTTCTTACCAAGGATTCCTTTTATACCTCTTCGAGGTGATAAAAATTCAATTAAATTTAAGAGAACTCAATTTTCGATTAGACCATGTTTTGCGGTGACTATAAATAAAGCACAAGGTCAAACACTTGATTTTGTCGATCTATATCTTCCAGAACCGTTTTTTCTGCCATGATCAGCTATATGTAGTATTATCAAGAGTAAAAACGAGCACATCTCTAAAAGTTCTATTGAAACCATCAAGCATAGACAATTCTCATAACACATGTACTAAAAATGTTGTGTACAAAGAAGTTCTTTCTTTTATATATTCATATACCTAAAATGTTTTAACAAGTATATTTTTTTGTTGTTAAGAAATTCTTATAATATGCTATCGTATAACGATTTCCTCAAAATTTTAATTGCATGCAAAAATATAACGTTACTATTTTTTCATTCTTTACATTTGCTATAAAAAAAATTTACAGGTTCTATGAGTGGGATTCAAAAGTTCTTTTCAATTCTTTGCTACATGTGTACAATGGAATCCTTAACGACAACTTCAAATAAAACTCAAGTTTGCAAAAGGTATGATTTAGATTTGTTAGTGTTATAATACTTTGCTAGATTGGTAACCAATTTATGTTAGTGGAATGTGGAAATAGAATGTCATTTCTCCATTTTTAGAATAGATTTACCTTCAAAAGTTTCACACTTTAATGAATATGAAGTGTCACATAAATATTCTTCATCAGTTATTGAAAACTAATTATCTTGACTAATGCCAACAAAGGCACTGAAAACAAACATTGAAAAAACCAAAAGGAATTCGAGAATCCAGCTTAATTGAAAATTCAGCTCAGCTAAATACTCTATCAATTGACTTACTGTTTGATTTAGAAGCAAGCATAGATTTGTCTTCTATTTTCTGAATTTTTTAATTGCAGATGATTATTATTTAAAAAATTAATTCTTGGCATATTATGATATCATACATTTATCGAAAAATTCTTACATCTTTCGACTTCCAAGTAACAATTAAAGGAGATTAAGAGCATCCTTAGCCTTGCTTAAAAACACGTGAAAAAGTATTTTCAAACATATTTGGATAGGTTACTCCCATTTAATCTTAAGTAAAAGTTACTTATTGTGAAAATAACTCACTTTACTAGCAAAATAGGAAAGTTAATTCTAATTTTGATCAATTAAAGAACTACTTGTTTACTCAAAAGTACACCTTTTACATAGCCAACCATGTTGAACTCAGTTTATGTATGAACTTTGCTATTGATAATTACATTTAGAATTTAACAACTGAGTTTATTGGTTGAACAAGCAACTTTTAGTCTTTTATTAGGTTAGGGTACTATCCTTAGAGAAAGCAATGCTACTATTTAAAATTGAGATAAATCTCTATATTGGCATTCTAATAAATACAACGATGCTAACTACTATTGTCAACTGTCACTTGAGTGCATAACATGAATTATTTCTAGGGCCATATGAATAAATGTTAGTTTTATTAGCATTATACGTTTTATTTTATCCTTTCCACTACTTTTGGTGCTTGATTCCTTATTTAATAAACTCTACTAGGTGATCAGCTAGCAATAGCAAAGGAAACATGGCACGGTTTGGGAATGCGTACCAACAAAACGTATCATTCATCTTCTTTACTAAGAAATAACAAAGACAAGTCAATTGCTGTATTGCCTGTTGATGAACTGATTGGAAAGGTTGAAAACTTTGTTAGTGTGTGCAATCTCTCATTACATAATATCTTTACATGGATAGTGGTTAAACTAAAATTTACATATATTTTATTTTTTAATTTGTCTTTGGAAAATTCTGCATATCTGGCTTTAAACGCGACGATCATACTTTTTTTATTTTCATAAGAATCTTTAAAGTGATATTCAATTATTATATTGCATTTTCTTGGCATTTTGATTTATTAGATAATATTACTTTTTATTTTCCAATAAACTTGCTTCCTTTTTTTAATGAGTACATATGTATATTTGGATACACAACACAAATATGAATTGTTAAATCAACTACGAGCTCTAATTATGTATTTGAAGACAAGGTTAGCCAGTAAATTCTAAACTCATGTTTTACTCCTCTCATGCTCAAGCATATTTATATATTCTTTTTTATTTATTTATTACAGGATAAGTCCATCAAAACTTCTCAACATGAAAGGGGACAGACACAATAGTAACAAGTCTGGATGCCTTAAAGAAATATTTTTAATTTTATAAAATTTCTTTTTATACTTTTTAAGTACATACAAGCTTTTAACATAAAAAATTATCTTTCTATTAAAGAGTATTGTTAAATACTTGATAAGTATCATTTTGTTCTTTTACAAGTTTTGGTATTATGATATACAATTTATTTTTCTTCCGAAGTTAAGCTTTTTTTTATACAAGAACTAAAGTTGTAAAATAAGAATCTAATCATAGTATGCTTTGTTATATTTTCTGGCTTTCGGAGTTTTCTATTTTGTCTTTTACTTAATTAAAAACTAATGCTTCTCATACAATTCATACATTATTCGACCATAAATTGAATTTTCTTCTTCGTAATGTAATAAATGAACACGATAGTTCTTCAAAATACATCAATCCAAGAGAAAATAAAGAAAAAATGACAAACAACAACGATAGTAATAATTAACCTGATAAGACCTATGATAATATAAGTTAATATGCTTGACTAGAATATCCCCACAGGTTCCTAAATAAAGTTCCTTAATAATTTTCTTGTGTATAAAGCACTCATATTTGAAACATATGGATTAACAATCCTTCTTTCAATTTGTAAATCTAACACCATTTATTAAATTTTAGCAAATTATAAAGTGATATTTTTCAAAATGAACACGTGCACCAGTAAAAAAACTAACACAGAAAAATACCAACTTCCCATAAAATACTTTTCAACTCTACATATATATCTACATGATGATAAAAAATAGTACCAACTTTCCACGTAAAACTTTTAAACATAAACCATCATCAATTACATATAGATCTACGTGAAATAGATATTTTACAAATGACAAATTTTTCTTTCAGCTTAATTCTCATCCACACAAAAAGATATTTTACAGCACCAAGTGTATGGTTGCAAATTAAAACAATGATTCTTCTACCGCATGTTCTATTAATATCTGCTTTCGACTAACTATTTTATAGTACCTTCACTTTCTCCTTCAACATCAAAATTCTATAACAATATCATAAACATCACACTCTTCAACTGCAACTGCCAAAGTTTAAAAACTCCGTTTTCATTTTATTATTGGTAAGTTTTGCGCGTTACTACCGTTTTACTATAATTATCTTCTAATAAAAAAGAAGAACGTTAGATTATTCAATAATTTTTTTTTTTAGAATTAGAAATATTAATAGAATTTTTTTACAACAAATTTATCGTAACATTGACAACCGTAGCTATCTGTGTTATAACTTCTTCTTCACATAATCATAGGATATCAAGAATGGACGCATTTTATAAACTTATCCCATAGAGTTCCACTTTTGAAAAGAATTGGACCGCAAAAATCATAGTTGTAGGAAAACAAACACCTAAAACTGCTCGAAATACCGTTAGCCGCTACCAAAATCTTCTCTTAATGGATTTAGAGGTAAATATATATTCATAACTATAAAAATCTTCTTATTTCTGTTCTAAATATTTGTTTTGCTAATATATTTATATTGAACTCGTTTCCACGTTTGAACAGGGTAACAAAGTTACTGCCATTATCTATGACGCAAATATTACAGCCCTTGCAGATGAGCTAACACTAGGGAAAACATACATGTTATCAAATGCAACTGTGAGAGACAACATAAATGAGTTCAGAGGCTCACTTCAAGATAAAATTTGGACCATAACAGCAAAGACAAAGATAGAAGAACTTAAGGAGGATAATTTAAACTTTCTCTTCTTGAGATATGAACTCACCGCATTCAACAAACTGGAACGATACATGGACAGTAATGCAGAGATAAGTATGATTACAAACACACTAACTTATAGCCAATATAAATTTAGTTAACATTTTATAATCGTTCTATTTATATTCATTTTATCATATACAAAATATGATATCAACACAAATTCCTTGTTACAGGTGTTATAGGTATCGCTATAGAAGTTCGTCAGAAAACAATTATCCAAACCCAGTTTGGCACACAAGCATGTCTTCAAGATGTTGTGCTGATAGATAAATCTTTCGAGACAATCATATTAACGATGTGGGACACTTTTGTTGAAAATGATTGCATTACAATAATTGATAACATCGGAAGCAAACCAATCATATGAGCGACTAATTTAGAAGTTTCTTCATACAACGGTAAACAAATAGAAATATAATATTTCCTTTACATTTATATTTTAAGTAACATAAAAACTAACTTTATGATTGAATTTTTTTTTTAGGAGTTACACTTTCTACAAAAGTCAACAGCACTTTTTTCATTAATCCTAGAATTGTAGCTGTCACAGACTACAAAGTATGGTTACCGAACAGAACTAAGAAATTTCTTCAATTTTCCTAACTTCATAAATATCATTTACTGTAGTAAATCTCACACTTAATTATTTGCTTTATTTATGCAGGATTGAAACAACAAAGAAAAGCTTGACAAACTAATCGAAGATAAGCCATCTATTGCAGTGACGCCACCCAAAATTTCACCCCTAGACGAAAATAAATTCACACCAATTGCTGACTTACAAGGAGTCCATTGGGGAGTAATTTCGAAAACGTTTATATATATATATATATATATATATATATATATATATACACACACACACACACACACACTACAATTTTTCTTATTACTATATTTCTCATCTAACCACGTAGAAACGTTTCGTATGCAAGTCAAGTGCAGACTTGGAACAAATTCATAAGTGTCATTTCTGCAAATTTGAACACGCAAAAGCAATACCAAGGTAACATGTACCTCTAAACCTATATTTAACTATTTATTGAAAACAACACTTCATTCAACAAAACTTAGTATGTAATTTAATTAACTTCTCTATATAGGGTAACTGCTTTTGTACATATTGAAGATAAATCTGGAGGCTTGGATGCAATCGTGATAGGAGAAACGGCAAAAACTTTATTGAAAGCAAGTGCCGTCGAAATTATGAACCATTTTGAAAAGGTTGACTCCAAACACTACTAAATTTTTAATAATTATTTCCATATACTTCAACACATTACACTTGAGTACAATTTGAATATTCCAAGATGTCAATACACAACTAAAAGATCCCATAAGAACTGAGAACGAACAAGAACAACTTTTTTACCTAAAAATAACACCAAAAAGCCAAAATCCACCTGAATACTGATATGAAATTATCTTCATATTCAACTCTTCAACAACGACTGACGTTGATTCTTCAAATACAATCATGGAATTGGATCCTTCTCCTGCAACGACTGACGATAGTTCGAACAAAACGTCTACGAAAAGTAAAGAGAAGATGTACATGACAGACAATCAAGATTCTACAAACACCGACGAAGTACCTACACCAAATGCAAAGAGAGCTCTCTTTCAAACTCGAGACCAAAAAATCGAAATTCATTCCAAGAAGAAAATGAAGACTGATGAACATGTTGAAGATACTGATGTCCTTAGCTCTGGATAAAACCTCAACTCAAAAGATTCACGTTCGTTTTGTTTTAGGACAGTAGGCAAACTAACAGTGGCCACTTCTGTGATTCTACAAGCAACCTAATCTATAAATCTCCAGTAGACTAATGAGTCTTCGGTTAAGATTCAATTATATGATTTTGGGTTTCCAGATAGAACATGTTGCTTTAAGTATTTTTGGTACCTTTTTGTTGTTAGAAATGTAAATACTCACTCTAAAATCAAAGAATTGTACTCGTACCATGGTTGACACTAATATATAAAACTTTTTTTGCTATCAATAAAGAGTAGTCGTCTAAAATATATATTTTACTTTATCTATTAGTTAAACATTATCTCCTCCTCAATTATGCTTAATCGAATACGTATCTCAAAAGACAAGTTCAATATACTTGCATTTTCCATTTTGTAATTTTTTAAATTAATTTTATATGTATATACATATTTTTTTTACTTCCAATAGAGTTTACCTAGCTTTCAAATAAGCTTTTAAACAAACTGTTTCATCTATATAGTTAATTATCTCGTTCAATAAATTTTCCCATAAACTTACGTATAACTGTGCTCTTTATGCAAACTCTCTCTTTTATTTAAAAAAAACTAAATAATTTAACGAAATCAAGAACAAAAAGAAAATAATTGTTATTTAAAAAAGAACTAAATACTTTAACGAAATCAAGAACAAAAAGAAAATAATTGTAAGTAAGAAACGCAAAAAAAAAAGGGTTCTCCTAAATTTTTTTTATTAATTGAGTTAATTAGAATTAAAAATAATAATAATAATAATAAATCAAACAATTTGAATTTACACACACCAACTACTAATATTTACTTACCAACTATCAATATTACTTACCAACATATCTACCGACGTCTATCTACCAAAATAAACAAATCAAAACAATTTGCATTTTGAATATTTATTTCATTTTTTCTATATGAAATCCAGACATGAAAGCAAAAGAATGACTATATTTTCTTGCAAATGTTTTGAAATCCACACAACTAAGTTCTTTATAAGTAAATAAATTATGTAGCTACATTAGTAAGTCAAATATAAAAAGCTTAATTTGTCATAATTTTTCCTCTTGATTGTTTTTTCATTTTCTTTTAATTGCATGCTTGTAAAAAACAAAACTGACTTATGCTTTATTTTCAAATATGGATATCT